TCCCTCAGCCTGTCCCCGGGAGCAAGGAAAGGCGTAGACCCACTGCCCGGGCCCGCAGGCACCGCCTCCCACTCCGCTAACTGTCTATTGAACTGAGAGAGCAACACAGAGGGCGTGAACAGCGTGGAGTCAAAGACCACCCAGTTTCGAGCTTTCCATATGCGTCAAAAGAGAGAAATCACCCTCATAAGCAGCCCCAACAACCCTAAGCCAATCTACAATGAAAGAATAAATGCTCAGTTGATTCCTCTTCCCATAAACACGTAGGGCACAAAAGTACCTCCTTCCACTCCCCTCCCCGATAGTGCTTCACCAGTGGGAACCACTCTCCTCAACAACTGCCAAAGAAAGGATTGAAACTTAGGTGGCACCGAGGCACCTCAGACCTTACCGCACAGGACTGAATCCCAAATCATAGGCCCTTGCTTAGTATGAACATTCCGACCCCGTCTAAGGTCCGAAGCTAGGTGATATCCTGACCGAGTGTTAATGTATGTGACAGGGTTATATATGTAAATATGTATTATAGTAGTAGAGCTAGGGTTGGCCGCATAGAACCCTATATATATGTGTGTTCGGCCATCATAGGGGGTAAGGATTTTTCGGTGATAATATTATTGACTTAGAGCTCGTCACTCTCCGTGGACTAGTCCTGTTCGTCACGAACAGGGAAACCACGTAAATCCTGTGTGCATCGTCTTCTTTACATGATTTTCGTGGTTTGATTGACATGGTATCAGAGTCTGGTTTGTCATTGAGGTCACGTGTTCAAGTCCTCACGACCTCCAATATTAACCGTTGTCTTCAAGTACATGGTATGGCGGGCCTGTGCGAACTTCAAGCCCACGAGTTGGCTTTCGTTTGAGGGGGCGTGTAAGAAAGTGGTTAAGTATCATACATGGGCCTCTCCCAACAACTCGAGTTATTGGGACCAACTGGTTTATAACATGGTATCAGATTTCTCTCCCTATGAAGCTCTACGGCGACAATACTAGTGCTATCCAGATCGCCAATAACCCTGTTCTTCATGACCGAATAAAACACATAGAGGTACATATGCATTACATCCGGGAACTTGTAGCTGATGGATGTCTCAAGCTCTACTACATTACTTCTGAAGACCAGACTGCGGATGTGCTCACTAAAGCAGTCTCCTGGTCTCGTCATTGGTTTCTGTCTGGCAAATTGATGATGCGTACCGCTCATCAATTTGGGGGGCTGTTAATGTATGTGACGAGGTTATATATGTAAATATGTATTATAGTAGTAGAGCTAGGGTTGGCCGCATAGAACCCTATATATATATATATATGGTGCCTTCTACAGTACCCCGGGTGAAATCCGGGGTACCACATACCTTGAGTATGAAAACGCTATCTAGACCTCGCATTAGCAGGATTTTTGGACATGATACTATACCCTAACCCTTAATGAGTGAACCCTGGGTCCTAATTATCTTAATCATTACCTATAAACCCTAAGATGCTGCATTACTTTTTTTGCCTATATTTGGACGAATCATAACCGTCGATTATTGTTACTAATTAAATTGATCTTGGGGTATAAGATTTAGAGAATTAAGACCTAGATTTTGATCTTTATGGGTTAGGGTATAGTATCATGCCCAAAAATCCTGCTAATTCGAGGTCTAGATAGCGTTTTCATACTCAAGGTATGCGGTACCCCGGATTTCACCCGGGGTACCGTAGAACTCCCTATATATATATATATATATATATATATATATATGTGTGTGTGTGTGTGTTCGGCCATCATAGGGAGTAAGGATTTTTCGGTGATAATATTATTAACTGAGAGCTCGTCACTCTCCGTGGACTAGTCCTGTGCATCACGAACAGGGAAACCACGTAAATCCTGTGTGCATCGTCTTCTTTACATGATTTCCGTGGTTTGATTGACACCGAGCAGTGTAGGAACCAGAGACTTCACGATGCCGGACAAGCCTATCCTGAATCGTAACCCCGCCAACAAGATATTCAGAGGGAAAGAATATGTATATATTTACATAAACTGAGTCAATCACTTTTGTTTCCTAGTACGTGCAATTGATGACTTTTGGTACACCTATCATAGAGGCATGCATGAGTGGGCATGGAATGAACGACAACCCACCAATCAATAACGCGTCTATATGTATGGCCACTTAACTACCACTTGCAAGTCAAAGCTAGCTAGATATGGAAAGAATGGTATAATGAACTTGTATAGTTGACTAGAAAGACTTAAAAAACCGTTTATAAAATGAAGGTAGCATAAGCCCTATTGATCATATATCATAATCCCAATCATAAGTATAAGCGACCGATCGATCAAAGTGTATATGATGTCTAGTAAGAACAGTGCCATGGTTGGCTGGAAGTGGAAACTGGTGGTGGCAGTGGCGGTGATGATCGTGTTCATAGCTCTCTCATTGCCCACGGCGACGGCTTCCAGAGTCATTGGAGCCGTCAAACCAGATGGTGGTAAGTCTCTATATATATATAACCATTCTCAATCGACCGCATGATTGCTCGTGTTTCCTCATTTTAATGCGTGAGGATCATTATTCAGTGATATATGATTCATAATTTAAACTTCTCACAACGATATGAATCGGAGCCTTCTCTGACTCAAAGGTCATCTGATCAAATCTCTCATTATACATGGTATTTCGGATCCGCGCAAATTTTCAGCACATATATATGGTGTGCTTTTTGTTTGAGTGGTAGCATATGATTCATAACTTAACATCTTCCAACAACTTGAGCTATTGAAACTAACGGATTCTTAACATGGTATTAGAGCCTTTTGTAATTGAAAGATTTTCTGTTTAAATTTTGAAGATCCTAAATTTAAAGCACATGATATTTAGATATGTGAAAACTTAAAATCGATATATGATTCATAATCCAACCTTCTGGTGCAACTCTTAACTCATGATTATCATTTATCAGGGGATTGGCCGCACGGAGGAGGTTTTCGTCCGCATGGCCAGAAGGATTGAAGAGGCGGAGGATATATAGATGCTGTTACCACATATATATCGCAAGTTGATGTTGTTGTTGTTGTTTGTTTTTTTTTTTTTTTGTCACTTTTGTTGTAATAAATCCCACAAACTATGTGTTATGCGAGTTGTGTTTATTTTGATGTACTTTTTGTTTTGTTTAATGTGTTAATTTGTCCAACCTATAAATGTAGACCATCACTCTTATTCAATCAGTGGCGGACTCAGAATTATTGAATAGGTGTGTCGACAGATAAAAATTAATTAATAAAAATTAGCATAAAAACTGTATCCATAAACTTCACAAGTTCATAGTTTTTTACAATGAGTTACTATGAATTTTCATATTATAAAAGATTTCATATCATCAAACATATTTTTATGTATGCAAATTACCGATCGAGTAAGAAAGATAAGTATATTACCGCGCCACGTTAACAAGCACAACTATAAATTTAATGAATAAAATTTACAAACTGAAAAGAAAAAAGCGATTTTGTATACATTAAATGTGACACAATAACTAAACCTGAAAACAAGTTGAAAATTAACAATAAGAAAAATCTACGAAAAGAAGCTATGGAGAAAGACGACCTAGAATTCATTATCCAATTACTTGACTCCATCCATTTATTAATTAATTGTTATCTATAAGGTGATAGTTATCTCTGTGTATACTCATTATGTACTAAGTAGCGTACAACCAACTAATTAACTATCTAGTTGAAAGGCTAATAACTTATATATTCACATATTTTAATAACTTCAAGACAACAAAAAATTTGGTAACATAATAGAAATGTGTTGGTTACAATTGTCGAAAGTGTGTAAGAAGTTCCGTACTCCCGTCTTTAAATTTTTATACCGTCAAAATCTGTATCTCTCACACAAATTTTGAATGGAGGTGTGTTGTTTGACACACGGTGAGTCCGCCCCTGTATTCAACTAAGTTCGTACCACCATGCATCTATATGGTATTATTCACCAACGACTTGTGATTATAACTAATACCAACCTTCAATTTCCCGATCTATAAACGTTCGGTGCATGTAGTAGAACATGGAAATAACCGCGATGTGATCGATTTTTCTATATACAATATTCTCTGAAGTTTTAAAATCAAACACCTCGAAATCAAAAGTAGTTGGAAATGTAAAAAGATATACACAAATCTAATTGTGTGTGGTTTGGGAAAAACTCATCTGTACCATTTCTCAGATAATCATGTATAAAGTTTTTCATATAAAGTGAAATTTTTGTTAGATGTCGATGATACTTTTTTTTTATAATGGGAGTGTCGATGATACTTTTATTTTGTTCATATAAAAGTGAGGGGAAATGAGCCAGTTTTTTTCCTGAGAGATAGTTTAGTTATAATACTTGAGAGATATGGAGAACTTAATTGTTACCATATATAGTAGTTGCTGCACATATTTAGATACATATTTAGATATATTCAATGTGGATACTTAAAATACCAAACTCGCACCAAACCATCATCCTTTTTATCGAGTTCGACGAAAAATCACTCAAAATAATAATCATTCACTACAAGAAAAAGTAGGATTTGCAACCAAAAGTTTTACAACCAAATCCAAAATGGTTGCGAAAAGTGTAGCATTCATAACCAATTATATTTTGGTTGCTAAAATATTAACAATTTGGTTGACTATTAAAATCAACATATTGATAACCAAATAAAAATTAGGAAAACCAAATAATTTGGTTGTAAAATGATTTTTACTATTTTCAACCTAATAATTTGGTAGCAAAATGATTTTTACTTTTCCTAACTAATTAATTTGGTTGCATAATGTTTTTTAATTTCTCCAACCAAATATTATTGGTTACCAATTTTAAAAAAACTTTACGTAACTAAATTATTTGGTTGCAAAGATAAAGTTTCAAACAACTAAATTATTTGGTTGTAATAACTAAATAATTCATTTACTCAATAAATGTTCAATTACTTCTTCCTTACTCCCTTGCGGATTATAATGGAAACAAAAAATGTATTCACTCCACCTTTACTCTTTTTTCTCCTTCCTCCCAAAGACCTTCTACTGAGAAAAGATCAGAGTCATATCCAAATTCCATCACCAACTTCTTCTTCATCTTCTTCTTCTTCTTCTTCATCATTCCCTGATTGCTGCTCTAAATCATCGAGATTTGATAAAATCAAGCTCCATTCTCCATTTGCTTCGTTCAACCTCACTCAGCTACCAATCGAGATCCAGTTGCTCGAGTCCCCAAAGGAAGCGATTCTGAACCAGAAAAGAGTTCGGCCACTTCGTTCGATCTTTCCTCGTCGTCGATTCTCTGTATGTAACTTCATATAGGTCCGATTTCTGATTCTCTCCAAGCTGGGGTAAGTCAAATCCGTTCTGTTTCCTGTTCTCAATTTTCTGGAATGAGTCAAATTCCTATCCGATTCCGATCTTATATTTGAATCTCCGTTGTAGATTTGAATTGGTCGCGGGTTGGCATAACTTGATTTCGGATTTGAACTGGATTTCATTGCGGATTCGATTTGACAAGGTAGGGCAAATTTTGATCGCGAATACTTTCACCGACGCGACGCCGCCTCGTGGAATGAATTTCTCCTTCGTCTGTCCCATCTCTCTTTCCTTACTGAGTTAGGGTTCTTGAATTTCTAGTCGCCGGGGAACTGATCCGGCCACCAGCTCTGGCCATGTCAGCCTATCTGTCTTTGACTTGTGCAAGCTCATGGTGACCCCCGCTCAAGTAAGCTCGCGTCGGCGTTCCTAGTTCTTGAGATCTTACAGTACCGAGTGGTTCTAGTTTGGTTCGGTTCCTGATTGTGATTGTTGGCGGAATTAGGTGGAGACGTCAGTTTCTTACAACAAACACAGGCCAAGAAAGCATCTGCCGGGCTTGCCTTGTTGTTTCACGAGAGAATAGTGTACATCGGGATGCCTGTAAGTTGATTGAAGTATAGACTGTTTCCTGGAACTCAACTTCAGCTTGTTCAATTAATTGCTGGAACTCAACTTCACCTAGTGTGGAATGGTCAATGTATGTGGTTAAGTCATTCTAGCTGCTGCTAAATTGCAGGCAACTAAATGACAATGAGTTCACTGGTTGAATTCGTCCTGAATTTGGCAAGTTGGAGCTGATTGCAGTGAGTCTATTCTTGTTCTTATGGTGAGTCTATTCACTTAGGGTCGTATAACTTGAAGCTTTTATAATATTAATTTTATTCGACATATGCAGGGGTTACGGGTTATGAGGGAGGCCTTTGGCGGGTTCGGATCCGTGGAGGTCCAGATTTGTGTCTTGATTACTAATCTTGGGTGCTTGATCATTTACTTGATCATCAGTAAGCTTGAGATCAAAGCCTTTCTCTAATTATTAGAATTAGCTGAGCATGTTGTGATTCTTGTGGTCTTTCCCTAGTCATATTTTGAATTTATCTTCAGGCTGGTTATGAACTAATCAGAAGAATGCATTTTACGAGTTGATTGAAGGCTTGGGGAAATTTAACTTTCTGGTTGTTTCTTCAGGGGATGTGTTGTCAGGGACGGAGCAGCATTTGGGAGTACTGTAATAATGGTTTGGGGTTTCATAGCTGAATACTCGAGCTTTTGCACTCTCTGGTTGTGGTTTTTGTTATGCTTCCTTTGGTCCTGTTCAATCAGGTTGGTGGGTTGTTCATCTTTGAATCCTTCTTTCATGTTCCTTCCAAAGGTCTTGGAAGCTCGATCCTGAATGTTCGGAGGTGCTTTGTGTTTCTTGTATTCTGCAGAGTCATTGAGGTTCAGTTCAGCGGTATCAGTTCTCTTGGCAGTGATTTTCAGTGGCATAAGCTCGCTGATGGCTGTTTCTGTTTCAAGGTACTCATACGGCCTAATGGCTGGCTGCTTGCTTGTAGCTATTGGTGTTGTAATGGTTGTGTCAGGGTATCAATTACATTTACACGTTTTGCCTTCTTATTTTTGTACTTCATAATCATACTTCTCTTTGCTTTCTTTGACTCTACCTTGAGGCCAACTATAAAGAGAAGCATGGCTAACAGTATCATGTTCTACCATATATGATCGCAGTGGATCGAATGAAGAAGAGTCCATGCTATCTGCCAGCGAGTACATGTGGGCGGGTGTGATGATATTATCCAGTGCTCTTCACTTCCGGTGCCATGATACTAAAGGTTGAATCTTTTTAAGAGGGTCTTTAAGTTGAAGTGAGCTATATCAGCAGACTGAGCAACTTTGCTTTTGTTAATAGGAATTCGTGTTTCTTGATGCTCCTCAAAAGCTGAAGGTATACCAACCAAAATGGAGAAGTACCAGGTGAAGGACGGCATAGTTATTTGTGTAGTTGTGATTTTTTAAATAGTGGGCTTCCCTACTGATAGCATTTTGTAATTGCGATTTTAGTTACTAAACAATTTTTTTATATATGAGATATAATGTGAAATTATTTTATTATAATCTAATTTAATTTAATATTTTTCATTTTAATGATCAAATTCTCATGGACAGAATTGGTCATATTAGTAATATGAAATTATTTTATTTGGTCGGCTTATGTGTTTTTCGCAACCAATTTCTATGGTTGTGTAAAACTTCCATAACTAAAACAATAGGTCGCCTAATTGATGTAATTGGTCGTGGTATGTGTTTTTCACAACCAAATTTCACGGTTATGTAAAACTTCTATAACAAAAATAAATAGTTGTCCAAAATAATATAATTGGTTGGCATATGTATTATTCACAACCAAATTTTATGGTTGTGTTAAAATTTGATAACCAAAATAATTGGTTGTCATAATGATACTATTGGTCGACATATATTAATTTCTCAACCAAATTGGATGGTCACCTTTTAACAGTTTAATTATAATATTTTGCATCCAAATATAATTGGTTACCAAAAGTCACACGAATTGGTTGTCATTAGTATTTGTGGCGACCAATAGCTTAGAATTCTCAACCAATATTTTGAACTATGACAGCCAAATAAATATGGTCGCGAAAAATCAAGACTTTTATCGTTGGCAAAATTGGTCGCGATAGCTCTTTTTCTCGCGACCAAACAGTATTTTGGTTGCGCTAGGAATTAGTAACGCAGCTATAGCGACCAAATCTGCTACCAAAATAATTTGGTCGCGAAACAGTATTAGTAACCAATTTTTAACTTTTAAAGACTAATTTATTTGGTTCAGTTTTTGTTGTAGTGATTCGATATTTCTCCATTCAAATTGATTTGCATTTATTTAGATACCCACGGTGATGTGGGTCCGGGTTTATCTTGATCAAACACTCCCAAACTCGCTGCTAGTAGAACTGCTCGGTCATTTCTTATTACCTTTCCTTTAGACCATATATATATGGTGACTACTTCGGTGCACTCACAAAAATGGGTGCGTTCAATGCACCCAACTCAAAAACTAGTCTTAAGGTGTCGGATGTTGAATTTTAATTTGTAGAATCAGTGTAATATGATGATATAACGTATGATAACAACTAATTAGCCAATTACACTAAGCCTTAGACCTCCAATTTTGAGTTCTATGCCTAAACTCCAAATTGTAAACCCTAACCCTAACCCTAAATCTCTAAACTCTAAATCCTTCAAATTAAAGTAAAACTTCAATGGTTTTTGTGCAAATTCATGTGCGTTATTGTTCATCATATCATAAGTGATGATTGACATCATTTTTACATAAATCGCATGTTTAAAATGATGGTTATGAAGCGAGTGCACTGAACGCACCCTAAAAAGTGAGTGCAGCGAAGACGCCACCATATATATATATATATATATATAGCCATTTTGGGTTTACAATTTACTCAAACAAACAACTCGGCAAGTCCTTAAAAAAACTGAGGTAATTACGTACTGCACTGCATGGCCGCCGAATCGTCGTCTGAATTAGGGCTGGAAAAATAGACTAGATCGTTTGAAAAATTATGGTCCAGATCGGATCATACAGTTTGATTCGAACTGTAGACCGTTAAGTATAGGGGTGGCTATTTGGACCGGGACCGGATTAAAAACCGGAAACCGGACCGTATAACCCGGACCGAGACCGGACCGGGACCGGATAGTAAACAATCCAATCCAATCTTTGGGCTTAGATTTGAGGTAAAAAACCGGATAAAGACCGGATAAGAGAGCTCAACACCAAAACTTAAGGGTAATTTGCATAAACGGTCACAAACCTTTGCACTTAGTACAAAACTTAACCAACTCCTCACCCTTTAAGGCCTTAGGCCACTCAAATCCCACAATCTCAATATAAAATCAAGACCGAATTGGGACCGGACCGGATCAAAACCGGACCGGATCAAGACCGGACTGTATCCAATCCAATCTTCGGTCCTTATATCTTCAAAAAGACCGGACTGGACCGGATCAATTTGGGCCAATTTAACCGGACCGGACCGTATAGCCACCCCTAGTTAAGTATGGTCTGGTCTAGTTCATGGTCTGTACTATATGATGTTTTGATTTCTTGGTCTAGACCGCGGTTTACTGGACCAAACCGTGGACCCTGCCGACTTCTCAATACTTGTTAGCAGGTCACTCGACCACTCTCCCAACTCCCACAAGGATACCCAAGTCTCAATCTTAATTTTGAGAATCTCGTCCCCCTCCTTCATTCACAACCACATTGCACCAAAGTTTAGAGACGATCGTGTCTCTATATGACATTATGTAAATTATGTTTATGACGTTATGGCACAAGTTGGGATGCTTTGACTTTGTATCTTTATTATTTACTTAGATTTATGGTGTCAAAATTATTCATGCGTATTGGAATATATGTTTGAAGGGAAAAAAAACAATCTTTTCTTGGCTATTGGTTCTCTTTTTTTTTTTTTTTTTTGCGGTTGACTAATCAAATTGTTAATTTGTGGTTAAGTATGGTCTATCTGGACCAGACCGCATAAGCGTGGTCTGGTCTAGACCGTATAGTCTATAATCTGGTCTGTGGTATATACTCCAACCTCTCGATCTAGACTGTAGACCGTATATATGATCCGGTCTGGACCAGACTGCACCGTTTCTCCACCCTAATTCGAATCTTACCTGAGCTTGCGTTGTTGGTCTTGTTATTAATGGGCTTTTTCTTTTATCGGAAGCCCTTTTATGTGCTCGCTGCGCTCGCACAAATGGATGGGCCGGGGAAATCCCTTGCTGTGAGAAGATCGTCTCCAAATCAGCGGGTCGTTTACTTCATATATATGAAAAATGAAAGTTTTAGTAAGATAATAATAAGCTAATGGAGTAGAGTCCTCTTTTGGCAGAATTGTCAAAAGTTTGCCTTGGATATTGCTAATCTAATGGACAATGCCACAATGGGGATGAGAACAATAAGGGTAACGATAGACTGGTTTCGTCAGTCTTATTTCTTCATCAAGTAGCAGCTCCAGCTGCCTTTGTACTTCTTCGATCTCCCCTTGCATTCTTCATCATCTCTTCACTTGCAGGCTTTTATGTCTTGAAAAAGCTCCATCGCCATCACCAGCTGATGAAGCTAAACTGCAACCGTTTGTAACCATATAATACACACACAGGGATCACATATTTACATGGGAAAAAAATAATACAGTTGGATCATCGAGTCAACCACTAGTGTTGTTTCTTAGCAGGGGTGTAAGTTTGTCTACAGGGTCAGCTTAGGATATTGTCAGCTTAGGATATTGTCAGCTTAGCGTCAGGTCCGAGTCAGATAGGGTCGGGTCAATTTAGGGTCGGGTCACTTTTTGACCCTATGACCTTTAGTATCATTCAAACACGTTGGACCTATTTGTAAATTTTTAAAAGTTTAGGTACTAAATTGCAAAAAAAAAATTGGGTACCAAAATATAATTTTACCATCCATTATTTGTAAAAAAAAATAAAATTTAGGTACGAAAAATGTAAGAAAAATAAATTCGGGTACCAAATTGTAATTTTTTGAAAAATAGTGTATTTATTAGGGTTGACCCACTAACCCGACCCTTCCTAACCCCTCCCGACCCTAAAGGGTTAGACAGAGTCATGAAAAAAACAGGATCGAGGCGGGTCAGTTATATATCTTGACACTTCAAAAGCGGGTCAGTCAGGACCAGAACAGGATAAAAGCGGTTCGGGCCAATTTTCAACCCTATTTCTTATTAGGGCGTAAACTGACGACTTTTGATACACCTATATATCATAGAGTTTGAAGCCTGGAACGAAAGAGAACCACCAATTGAAAACGCGTCCTAGATATATATGGGTTGCCACTTGCAACTCAAAGCAGCCAGCCGAAAGCATAACAATGAACACATTACACGCAGTTGAGTAGAAAGAGTACTTAAAATAAACCTCTATAAATATATACAATAAGAGACAGAACTTGGAGAGACATGCAAGCCCAAGTATAAGAAATCGATCAAGTATGGTTCCTAAGAACACCATTGTTATTGGAGTTCTGATGATGATCATGTTCCTGCTGGTTCTCTTATTATTGCCTCCAGCAATGGCTTCCAGAGTCCTCCTGCTGGAGGTTGTAGCAAAACCAGATGCTGGTAATTAACTCTACCTTTCTCGAGACCTCATTTTTCATGATGATGAGCTAAATTTACGAAGCTAAAATTTCTTCTTGAACTGTTGTTTGTTTCTGTACGTACTGATGATGATTCAGTGGATTGCCCACACGGAGGAAATTATCGTCATCCACCACCAGGCCAGGAGGGATGAAGAGGCGATGGATGGACTTTGACGATGGAGTGATCGTATGTCACATGTTGATGTTGTGGTTTGATTTGGCACTTTTTTGTTGTAATAAACACCCGCGAACTACGCGTTTTGCGAGTGTACGCGGTGTGATTGTTTGTGTTTATTTTCGTTGGATGTTGGTTTGAATTTTTACGTATTTTGTCTTCTTGTCGTCTTATTATTGAACTTAGAAATATATATATCAATATTAGTATTCTAATATATGTCGTGCTGACGTCTATAAGACAACCTATAATCATAATTTTTTGATGAGGAACCTATAATCATAATTATTATGGATCTTTCCGTGGTGTGTGTTGAAACTGTGTATTTTACTTAGTTTAGGTGGCTTACATGTGTTGAAATTGTGTATTTTTACATTGCTGCCGTAACCTTAACATATATATATCTCCCATATGTATTCTGTAAAACTAAGCTGAATACCATTGACTCTGGAGAGTGCTATCTCTCCCGTGGACTAGTCCTGATTCTCGGGGAAACCACGTAAATTCGGTGTTTATCTTCTTTAATTTCGTGTTCTTATCATGGTATCAGAGCCTCTTGTCTAAGGCTTTCGGCTGCTTCTGTTTCCTTGGTTGTGCGATCGGTTTCTTTCTCGGCTGCTTCAGGATTCGTGGCTTGATTTCTGGAACTCTTAGGGTTTCGGTTTCGGTCGGCTGCTTGTGTGATCTCTTGGTTCTTGCTTGGTGATTTTCTGCTATGGTTTTCTGCTATGGTTTCAGTTCCGAACATTTGTTCAGGGGAAGCGTCTTCTCCCGATTCTGACCGGCAAGAAGTCCAAGCCTCCTGAGACGGATGAAAAGGCTCTGGGTGATTGGGAAACTGAGAATGCTCAAGTGATTTATTGGCTTCTTGCAGCTATGGATGTTCCCACAGGTTTGAGTTTGCGCCGATTTGAGCTGGCGAGTGATATGTGGAAGCATCTCCTCTCCACGAACTATCAAGTGGATGCTTCTCGTCAATTTGAATTGGAATTGGCGTTGTCCAACTTGGCCCAGGGTGATAGGGATATTCGTTCCTACTATCAAGAGGCTATGCACCTGTGGACCGAGTCTGATCTTCTTGCTGCCTCACTCTCAGTTACTCCTCCTTCGGCTCAAACGGTGGTTGAGCGTACTCACTCCCGGACTATGACTTTTCTCATGAAGTTATGGCGTGATTTTGAACCTGTACGGGCATCCATTCTTCATCGTAATGTTACCGATTTGGATTCCATTCTTGCGGAGCTCTACAGGGAAGAAACCCGCCTTAAAAGTCAAGCTCAGGTTGATTCTCAGACGTCGAGTGGAGTGGATAATTCGGCTGCCTTTGCTGCCTCCTCATATCGGCCCCGGTTCACCTCTACTTCTGATGGCCAGGGTCCTCCAACTGCTCGTATTTGTCATTACTGTCGAGAGCCAGGTCACATCCAACCATTTTGCAAGAAACGCAACTAGTGCAACTACTGCAAACAGACTGGTCATATTCTTAGTGAGTGTCGCCAGCGTTCTCGTCGGCCTTCCTCACGCCACTCTGGTCCGCCGCCTCCTGCTCCAGCTTTTGCTGTCACTACTCCTGCTGCTCCTGCTCGTCCGGAGGTTGGCTCTTCTTCCTCTGTTGGTGTGTCCAAGGCTGAAATCACCAAGCTTCTTCATGAAGCTCTTCGGGAGGTGATGAGTTCTGCATTTGCAACTGGGAACTCTGCAGGTAATTCTCGGACTTGGCTTCTTGACTCGGCTGCTTTCAATCACATGACCAGCCACCTTCATTCTTTTCGTTCCCTCCGTCCTGTCACCCAGCAGTTACAGGTTGCCAATGGTGTTGTCCTTCCTGTTACAGGCATTGGCTCTGTTTCTGAGCCCCAGTTACTGCTCACCAGTACTCTGCATGTTCCTAGTTTAGTGCCCAATCTTATTTCTGTGGGGCAACTTGCTGAAGATGGGTGTGAAGTTCGGTTTAATAATACTGGTTGTATGATGCAGGATCTGATGACGGGGAAGGAATTCGGCCGGGGGCATAAACAAGGTCGTGTGTATGTGCTGGATTCTCTTCAATCTCGACTGTCGCCACTGCATGAAGCTCCTGGTCGTGAAGTCTTTGGTGCGCCGAGTAGTGGGGATTCATGTGCAACTCCGGATGTCCCTTCACAGTCTTTGCTTTCTAGTTTTTTGGTTAGGAATCATACTGATGTAAGGGATTCTGTTTGGGATTTATGGCACTGTCGTTTGGGGCATCCTCATTCTGCTCGGTTGTTACAGATGTTTCAGAATAATTTGCTTCCTGTGAAGTTTCGTACTAGCTCATTTTCTCCTCCCACATGCTTGAGTTGTATTGAAGCTAAGGCGTCTCAGATTTCTTTCTCTCCCAGCACTACCACATATACTGCGCCCTTCAATCTGGTGCATACTAATCTTTGGGGACCGGCTCCGTCTCCGTCTCGTATTGGGTTCCTCTACTTTGCCTTATTCATTGATCACTATAGTCGCTGCACGTGGATCTATTTTCTTAAAGAAAAATCAGAACTTCAGATGCATGCTCGGGATTTTGTCCGGATGGTCCAAACACAATTTCAGAAAAGTGTTAAGATCATCATATCTGATCCGGGAGGGGAATTTAGCTCGAATGAGCTTCTTCATTTTTACAAATCAGCTGGTATTGTTTCACAACAGTCTTGTCCTGGCGTCTCATAGCAGAACGGGGTAGTGGAGCGCAAGAATCGCCATGTTCTTGAGCTCACTCGAGCTCTTCTATTTCGTTCGGGTGTTCCGGCTCATTTTTGGGTGGAGGCTTCCAACGCAGTTGTACACCTCATTAATCGACAAGTCACTCCTGTCTTGGAGGGTCACTCCCCTTACTATAACTCTACTCCCGGCATCCGAAATATGATCATCTTTGAGTCTTTGTGTGTCTCTGCTTTGTCTTATTACCCCGCCGCGAACGCAAAAAGCTCGCACCTAAGACGATTCGTTGTGTTTTTGTCGAGTATAGTGATCGGTACAAGGGATATATGTGCTATGATCCCGTTGGGCGACGTCTCCGTATTGCTTGCCTTGTTTTGTTTATGAAAACTATTCCGTTTTATTCAGTCAAGGATTCCGCTGCCCGGACTGCGTTTGACCAAAGTTTGCCCTTCCTGTCCTCTTTTCCCTCGTCGACTGGCTCGCCTCATGGAGGGGGGATAGTGACAGTGAGTCATTTGCTGATTCTGACTTGTATTCTTTGTCGCCGAGTTCATTATTGTCGGCTTCTTCATCATCATCAGGTGGCCCATCTGCGTCGCACTCATCCTCTTCGTCGTCTTCACCTTCAGCTGGCCCATCGACATCCTCTGCCACTAGCAACTCTACCAACTCGTCCTTGGCAAATGATGATTCGGAAGGGGTTGAGAAGAGCGCTGAAGGTGATATCCAGCAGCTGCAACCTCGGCGCTCAAATCGTACTACAAAAGGGCAGCTTCCTTTGATGTATAATGACTATATTGGATATTCTACAGAACCTATTTTTATACCGTCTAATTATCGACAAGCTTGTGGAATTCCGGAATGGGATGCAGCAATGGTGGAAGAGGTTGATGCTTTAGAAGCAAACCAGACTTGGGACCTAGTTCCTAGAACTCTCGAGATGTCTGTGATTGGAAGTAAATGGGTTTATAATGTAAAGATGAAGCCAGATGGTACGCTTGAATGACATAAAGCTCGGGTAGTAGCACAAGGGTTCAGTCAGGAGTTTGGTATAGATTATGAAGAGACGTTTGCGCCGATTGCAAAAATTCGGACTGTTAGATGTGTGCTAGCAGTCGCTGCAATGCTTGGGTGGCCTCTTGTGCAGTTGGATGTTAAAAATGCATTTCTACATGGAGACCTCAAGGAGACAATTTACATGGCTCGACCGGCTGGATATACGAAATGGAATGCAAATACAGTATGTCGTTTAAGACGGTCACTGTATGGTCTCAAACAAGCTCCTAGAGCTTAGTTTGAGAAGTTTCATCGCACAATTGTGCAGGCTGGCTTTACTCAAAGTCAGAATGACCCCTCCTTGTTTCTGCGGAATACGGTAGATGGCATTACAGTTTTACTGCTGTATGCAGATGACATGATTATTTCAGGTAATGACAGCTCTGGAATTAAGGAACTTACTGAGTCGCTTCATCAAGCTTTTAAGCTCAAAGAACTTGGTGATGTTTCATATTTCCTGGGCCTTGAGATTGAGAGGACGAAGCATGGTATTCTGGTTAGTCAACAGAAGTATATCCGGGATTTGTTGTCAGAGCACCAGTTTGAAAACTGTAAACCATGTACTACTCCTATGGAGCAGAACTTGAAGCTTAGCAGAACCAGTGGGGACCTACTGGATGATCAGAATCAGTATCGGACAATTGTTGGATCACTCAGGTACCTTAGCTCCACTAGACCGTACATTGCTTATGCAGTACAGGTAGTGAGTCAGTTTATGGATATGGCACGTACTATGCATTTGGATGCTATTCACAGGATTTTGAGGTATCTTCAGAACACTCAGGATGTTGGACTCTTCTTTCCTGTCAAAGGAGAGCCGGTGTTGGAAGCATTTGCAGATGTTGATTTTGCAGGATGTATTGACACACGTCGATCGAAGTCAGGATGGTGTGTAAGGTTTGGTAGCTCATTTGTTTCGTGGAGGTGTAAGAAGCAGGATAGGGTCTCTAAATCCTCTACAGAAGCGAAATACAGGTCCATGTCAGAAGTCAGTTCTGAATTGGTCTGGATACAACGGCTTCTAGGTGAACTTGGCGTTGAGTGCAGTATGCCTATGAAGCTGTTTGGAGATAATACAAGTGCCATCCATATAGCTATTAATCCTGTTTTACATGACCGGACGAAGCACATTGAGACGCATGTCCATTACATCAGGCAACTTGTGACGGAGGGAGTCATTCAGCTTAGTTGCTTGTCAACAGAAGATCAGACTGCAGACTTGTTGACAAAGGCAGTTGGGACCAACCATCATTGGTTTCTGTCTAACAAATTGATGTTGCGTAAGCATCATCAATTTGCGGG